CTTGATAATATTTGAAAATTTCTATAAACATAAAGAAAATTCTACAGTCTGTGTACCGTTCGATCGAAATCAATTTTCGCGTTTTCATAATCTACGTACTGCGGAATAACTATACTGATATAGATTTAAAGTGTTCTGATTTTCATCCGTTGACCTAATTGCATCGAAACATTCAGAAATTTATTTCTTCTAGATGTGAACGATAAGTACTGGGAACAATGTTCGTTACCCATTGATTTTTTTAACTATTTGTCCTACTTACCATCGCTGTCACACGGCTGCCGTATTTAGTGACTGCCAATAAGACGACAATGTGATAATATTTCTCTGACTGTTGCAATGATGTGAGCGAACGTTTGTCATCGACTGCCTAATCATCAACGCGCGCCGCCATTGCCGTACGGTTTCCCACTGGGTCTAGATCGCTGTAACGGCAGATCGTGGGAGGACGTAGTGGGACGGAGTACCCCTTCTAATTTTTAGAAATTTTAGCGTCCCCTTACTATTATTACGTTATCATAACGCTTAACAAGGTTTGGAGACGCAATTTTGTTTTTAAGTAAACAGAATCCCTTTCTTTAATTTTTCTAATTTGAGCACTGCGTAACGATGATCTTAAGGGACGAGCCGTGGCGCAGCGTTTTGTTCCGAAGCAGAAACAACTGCAGAAGTGGCGAGTGGTGGGTATGGGATGAAGGTCGGAAAGCTGTTGGGGTGGAAACGTTATCAGAAAGCGTACGGGGTTTAGTGTTTTGGTCCGCTGGCGGGCCGGGTATCCCCCGGACAGCGAGACGGCTGTCGGAAAGGCCGAAGAAGCTTTTGCGGCAGCCGAGCACTTTCACGCGTGCCCGGTCGTTGACGTTCCAACGGCAATAAGAAATAGAAACACCGCGGCTAACATGTGTACGGCGGTGGTATCAGGGCGTGAATAGGGATTTCCACCCAAAAGAAACATTCATCAATTTTAAGGGCTGTCAAGTTGTGTTCATCGAGACTCTTTGCGCTGCAGCAGCGACGTCAACAACAACAATAGCGGAAACACTACGTGTACGTACCCTAGATGCTTTCGCTACCACCTACAGGATAAATATTCGAATGGAATACATACAAAAGTACAAATACAATTTATACGAGACGGGAACGAGAGCAGAAGGATAATAAAAAGGTGGGGAAGAAAAAAAATATGCTCGGCAGGAATGGATTACGCACTATCAATTCCGTTTTTGTGGACACCTGTACGTTTGCCTTTGATCGAAATAATACGATATCCATATACATTTATATATATGTGCATGTGTGCGTGAAAAACGCCATGTTTAGTTATAAGTTGTATTATGCAATATGGCTCTTCTCTCGTCCGAGTGCCTTTTCCTAATATTGTGCTGCCGTCGGTTGATACCTTTGTGAAAAAACCACCAAATTTGAATGTGTTTCGTTATTTCATGTGCGTATCAGTGCTTGCATGTAGTCAGTAAATGCAAACGAGAGGATTTGTAAAGAAATCAGTCACCACTATCATATATACATTGGAAAGAAATACAAAATATAAAAAAAATATCGGAAGTATTAAAAAATATCCATGTTTTTAAACACATGGTTTGAAAACGTTTGTTTATAATGTGGTCTTTTAAATTTGTCTTAGTGGGAATAAACAATTTGAGATATTTCTCATATTATAACGAAGATTGGGAGTATACCTTCATTCATATATAACACACAAGAATAAACATACAGTTTTAAGTCTTATTATCGAGGTTCACTACTCTGGAAAAAAAATAAAAAAAGTAATACTCATATGTTTAAACTACACATTGATTTTTTATCTGAAACATTAGCACACGCACACAAGCAAGAACAATAAATATTTGGTATTATAATTTATTATATGTAGTTTTTAATCTATAAGTTAATTTTTCAGCAAATTATATCTTTAAACTTTTGTTTTAAGATCAATATCCACGTATCCATGGATATTGAAAATTTCATACTAAAATTTTTTGTAATAATATTTTTATTAAATAAAAAATCACTGTAGAGTCAAGGATTAAAATAGACCCACAGTAACTCCTACATATAGTAAAAAAAAATTAAAAGGGGGTAGCGGAGGGCAACAGTAACCACTACTATCAACCATTGGCAAGTTTTGCAACAAAACTAACGGAAATGAAAGGCATTTATGACGGCAGTTTGAAGTTACTTCAAGTACTGACTTATCAACTGTAATGTTGAAGAAAAAATAAAGTATAAAAATGTCAAAGATAATAATGTAATGTGGAGATATAATAAGCTAAATAATATTATTAATAGAGAATTGAAATTTGCAAGAGAGAAATGTTTAGAATGATTAGAAGAAAAGTGCCAAGAAGTGATACAATTACTTAGGAATAATAGGATGGATCAAGCGTTTAACATAATTAAGACAATTTTCAGAAGAAAAATAAAACTAGCCCCAAAAATAGGATATATTGATGGAAACTTCATACTGAACAACGAAAAATCATCAAAAAGATGGAAACAATCTCTTGAAATTTTATACTATGAAGAAGAAACAGACAATCTCAATAGAATAATAACCAAGATACATAAGGGGGGGAGTCATCTAAAGAGACGAGTTAAATATAGTTTTAAAGTTAATGAAAATATATAGAGTAGACGATATAGCAATGGAACTAATCTATAATACGATATAGAATTACAAGGAGAGCTATTTAAATTAGTGATGATATACACTACGAGAAATATCTCAATAGATTTCAAGGAGAGCATTATAATACATATACCTAAAAAAGTAACAGCTGATAAATGTAATAAAATCAGAACGATAAATTTAACGTTAAACATTCTATAATTGTAAACGGGGTTGTTTTTAAAATACACTGAAGTAAATTCGAAATGTACTTGAAGTTTTTAGAGTTATTCCTTCTTCTTGGAAAAAAATTTAAAAAAATCTTAAAACCATCTCTTAAAAATTACCTTAAATATATCAATTTCTCATTTTATAAGAAGTTCAATGATATTTTTAGTGAAATTTTATTAACTGGTATTTGATACATTATACATTATATTAGCATATGGCATCGATATAACATAAAAATAAATTAATTAATTAATAAATATATAGATATGTAACAAATAAAAAGTACAGAAAAGTTCTTCGTAACTAAAAATAACAATCTACAGAAACAGCAACATCCAAGTAAGCCAACCATTCAGGAAATATACTGAGATTTGATCACAGAAATAAACACGCATAACGTCATTGTAAAACCAATACATTTTTACTTCAATTAAAGTATAAGAAAATCAAGTAATGAGATGTGGTATTTAATATTTAACATTTTTTTTTTTTTTGCTTAATTTATAATTTTGTGTGTTTTTTTATATGTGCTATACGCCTCTATCATAATAGTATAAAATATATTTTTTAATAAAACACGTTGCTTTATTAAACTTATTAAACTTACTATGCATAATATAGAATATATAATTTGAACAAGTCTTTCAACAAGTGAACGATCAGTCCAGAATTAAATCAAATTGATTAGATAAAAATTATTGTAACACCTGTGGCGTTCATACATGGAATGACTTGTCGATTTAAACTGAATGCATGACATGTGTGTTGATGGGAAAAACTTAATTTAAGATTTTTATCTTCAGAATCAGAAATGCGGGTAACGTGACGGAACTGCAAATGGTTTCCGCAGTGTTACGAACTATTGGTGAAGTCCATTATGCGGGAGAAAGGCAATCGTATTGATAAAGGAAAAACTGTGAATTGGAAAATACATTGTGAACAAATTTTCATTCGTTTAATATACGTGAGATATGTGTCAGTATTTGATTCACAAGACCGGGTAAATCGCTGGTAAATCGTTGAGCACGTCGTGCCTATCGTGTTTGATATGAAAACAAATTAATCTTGCACGTAGTTTTGATAAAATAAAAACCTATAAGTGTAAAAAATTAAAGTTGAAAATGAATTTTTGATCGATAATAATTCACTGATTTTGGGAATATTTGGAATAAAATATGGATAAATTTTCATTGAATTGTACTACTGAATTTTTCGGATATGCATAAGGATGGAAAGTTTGAATACCTACTTAGTAACCAAAGATAAATATTTCAACAGTAATTAATCAAACACTGCAAAATCGTTTTTTATAGGTATATAGTTCTATATTTTGTTATTGTCGAAGATAATAATTAAGGTTTCTTACAAAACCTTGTGGAAGGAGACAAAAAAAAAAAGTACATATCTGTACGACCTCGACTATAGTGGTGTATAAGAATGTGTACTTTTTGACCAACATGCAATAAATCGATCATTAAAAAATGAATATGAAGCATTACTAGTTGGTGATCGAGACCAAGTGTGGTGGATGGTTTTTAATAAAATAACGGTTACGATTTGTGCATCAATTATAAGCAATACAGCATTAACATATAGGCGTTATTTATCTGAAAATCAAACATAAAACTGTAAACTGAACATAATTATAATATTTGATTAATAAATAGAAAAATGGAGTTAAAAAAAAAAATTGAAATCAGTTTGGTGAAATCTAATTCCTATGCAGTATCTGTAATCAATATCCCAAACAGGTGCGGGTTTCGATGTACTCGAATTTTCATTTGTTTTTCATAACTCGGTCAACCAATCTACAATCTTAACGGGATAATAAACACCTCGTATTAATATATATATATATATAAGTAAATTACACAGTTAGGTATTTATAATTTTCTAGACAGCCGAATCGTACACTGAATAAATGAACGCGGACGGTTCAATGGAAGTCACACGCAGTGAAATGTCACGCGTTCGCGAGTCGTCGATACGGGCTCACGATGCGCTACGTAAGTCGTGCAAGTAAGTAATTAAGCGCTTTTGGAGCCGAAGTGTATGTATGCGAATAAGTCGACGGGAGCGGGGTTCGAAGTTATATAGGTTGGTGGGTGGCTCGGTGGGGGGTAGGTGGGATGGTGGAGCTTACCGTGGTTACGGTGCTGGCGCTGCTGCTTGCCCGGTGCCCTGGTTGCCCGCGTTCCGGCGGCGCCGAGGTAGCGATCTTGGACTCGACCGGGCCCACGCCGTTCTTCACGCTGATCTCCAGATAACAGTGGCTGTTCTCCAGGTGGCTCTGCGCCCGGCGCTCCTCCAGCACTATTTTGCGCGCTGCCCGGAAGATCTTGTAGTATACGGTGATCATGACCGTGAGTGGTATGTAGAACGAGCCGAGCGTCGCGTAGATCTGGTACCCGAAGTTCTGGCACACGGTGCAGTGCGGCACCCCGTCTACGGTCGAGTGTTCGTTGCCAAGTATCAGCACGGGTGGCAGGCTGATGCACGCCGCGCCCAGCCACACCAGCGACACGCACACCAGCATGCGCCGCGGCGTCCGCTTAACGCCGTACTCCAGCGGCTTGGTGATCGCGTAGTACCGGTCCACACTGATCATGCACAGGTTCAGTATGGACGCGGTGCATGAGAGTACGTCGAACGACACCTGCGCACACACATGGCGAAACGCGATCAGTACAATGATGTCACTATGAGCCGCGTCCTGCAACACTAATCCGAAGGATCGTCGAAAAAATAGGACTGCTATTGATACGATTTGTATTTTTATGAAGCACATGAACGTTCTACACTTATGTGCTCGTAAACCGTTTGTGAAATATTTTACCGACATATCGTATTGCTTTATTAGCATAACGTTTTTAAAATTAATTTGAAAGTTAACCGGACTGATCCAAGGCCGGATTAAGCATTTATTGAGCACCGGAGCTGAAATTTTTTGAAAAAATATGCTTTACAAAGCTGTTCGCTACGTTCGCAGAACGATACATTTTTTTAACAAATTTTCAATTGCTTTATAAAACTATAAAATTAATAGGTATATACAATTTATGTCTATAAAACTACTAATTTTAGTATGATAAAATATGTGTATCGGCTTAAAATTGTTTCGGTTCCTTTCGCTTGGGTATTCGAGAGGGCCCCGGGACTACCGCCTCGGCTAGATCCCCACCTTAATCCGGCCTTGTACTGATCTAAACATTGTTGTAATTAAATAATCGTAAGATGTAGTAAATTCAGCATAAATAAATAATTAATATATATACTGCATAAATGATGCCATTAAAAACGATTCAGTAACGACCTAATTCGGAGTTCTCGTTTAAGCATCTATAAATAAATCGTAGATTAATTTATGTCTGATTTTTATTAACCATACGATTGGGTTTTTTTGCACTTAATGAAAAAATCATATAGAACGTAATTTTGATCCACACCCACAATTCGTTCTCGTTTTGTTTTCCATAGTTACAATTAAAACATCTTCGGGGAGTAAAATAAATATTTATTTTATTACCTATTATAATTATATATTTTTTTAACAAGGAAATGTTAATGTATTGCATTAACATTTTATTTTATGTAAAATTTGTAGTGATGTGAATTATCCTAATTTTTTTATATTCTTCATATTTAAGCCTATTTTTGATAAATTAAATACGCTTTTTTTTCATTGATTTTTATGATTTTAAAATTATTTAGTTGACCATATAACGAAAAAAATGTTAACAAAAGTTTGCGAAAGAACGATTTTATCATATGTAAATCTATTTAAAAAATATTATCTACATAATAGTGGTTCTCAAAAATGTTTGTTCACGGAGCACCGAAAATCGAAAATGTATTGTATATTTAAGATAATAATAATATAATAATCAATAATTTTTTTTTTAGAAGGTCATTTTCTGTTGAAATGATGGCCATTTTGTATTGTATTGATAAATATACATAATTTTGTGAAAATACCAATCGAGTAATGAAGTCGGAATAATCGAATTTTATCAGAAGTCTGAGTTGTACATTAAATAGGTGCTACTAAAATAGGGTGACCAGACGTCCCGTCTAAAATGGGATTGTCCCTTTTTTGATCATCATCGTTGTCCCGACAAACTTCGAATGGGACGCTTTTTATCCCGTTTTTAGAAGATTGTCCTGTTTTAATCCCATTATTGTCGTATTATTTATTATATAAGTTATTAATGCTTGCAAATAAAATATCTATATATGAAAAAGTATAAAACAGTTTTACTCGTATATTTAAAATGTAAAACAAAAGTTAGAAATAACAGATAAAAGTTTTCGTGGAACGAGCGTCAAGTCCCAATGCCGACGAACTATATAATTACCGATTTAATAATTTAACAATAATTAAAAGAAAATATTTTATTATTTAGGTTATTTTATTAAAAAAAGAGTAAATTAAAAGGAAAATAATTATTTATGATATGACAGAGATTTGGACTTTAACCCTCGAGATTTGTGTGTATATGTGTGAATGTATATTGATGAGATTTTTAATTTGGGGAGGGGGGAAGTAACAGCTGTTCCGTTTTTTTATTTTCTTAATATGGTCACCCTACATTAAAACGCACAATTTATTGCGCAATTCAAGTAATCTACCAATGATTTTACTTGATAATTAAGAAAAATAATAATATTTAAATTTAATTAATTCAGATAAAACCACGGAGTCCCTAAACTTCTCTTGCTAGGGATCCGCGGAGCACAATTTGAGAACTTCTGACGTAATACAACGAGTCGTATATTTATGGGAAATGGGAATTAAAAATAAATATGGAAAACAAAAATATTGACTGTCAAAATATATTAATCCGTACGATCTATTCGTTCGTTGAAATGTATGTTTATGGAATATTGTTCAAAAATTGAAACAAATAATCAAACCAAGCACACATATGTTGGTGCAACTAATTCTTGATTGTAATATTATTTATTATGTAGTATCGACTCGGTCCATGGCAGTTGCAAGAGCAAAGTACGAGTATTACCACGAGATACTTACCGCAGGAATTGACGCAACGAAAACACGGACAGAGTGATTGGGTCGACCCTACTACGTTACCCGATTGTTGGAGAAAAGGGTCGGCGAGATCAATGGCTATAGGTGAACGGATACTCTGACGTATTCCACACTTGACCGTTTGACACGTAAATTAAACGTCTATCGTTCGGTTTGTCTTATATGCACGTATTAATTATCGCTTAACTCCAGTACAAATTTTACAAATGCGCACACCTGGTATTCACAATCGTTCGGTGTCTACACGTTTCTATTAAAATCTGTCCGTAACACGGCACCCGGGCCGTCAGTATTGAACTAGGTGCTCCAATCAATATGGTCGCAAAAGTGTAAGGCTTTTGATTCACGCCGATAAGTGGACCTCATCTATTTTTTTTATTTTTTTTTTTTCATTTTTTTGTTGCTTTTCTTTGGTAATATAAAACGTGTGTTCCTTTCGAATAGGTAGGACATTTCGAGATGTATTATGTAACAAATACTTTTGATTCTTGTTAATCCTTTCATTCATGAGACTAAACAACATTAGAAAATAATTTTTTTTTTCTTTTATTTCATAGAATTTTATTATACGCATGCAATATTTATTATAATTTTTTTGAAAATTATCATCCCCCTCCTTCAACCATTTTTTTGATCGGGATGTCCCGACAAGATACTATGCATGTAAATTAAAATATAAATTTTAATATCAAAATCGTATTTGTATATTGTTTCATTGATTACTATTTCAAAAATATATTATAGCTTATAAAAAAAAACTTATCTTTTTATAACCTGTGCATTTTATAATAGTAAAAAAATACATAAATCATATAAATAAATACATATTGTTTTCAATATGGCTTGGTTACCCTTAGCACTAGTTTCTCAGATCAAAATCTTTCAACTCTCGTTCTAAGGCCTCATTTTTGCTCTGGTAAATTGAAAAATTTTAAATGTATCCTTTTTGGTCGGCAATACACCATAGCTTATATCCACTCTTTATATATTTCCTTGGATTCTATTCTATTGCTTTGGACTCCTGCGTGTTTTAAACTTTATCATTGACTCGTCCAAACTGAACCCACAAGTTCCATTATATGCTTCAGAAAATATTTTATTTAACGGATCATCGGACATAACTTGTAAAGTTTATCTTTATTATTTACTGGGATTGCGATATTATCATGTACATGAATATTTAATAACATTTTGCTAAATCTATCTCTATTCATAACTTCAGATATAACTTTCTTATGCAGTACCCCAATAGTGTCCGAAAAATGATAACCCTTGCAAAAGTTAATCTCAATAAAACCCATTAATTCATCGAATACGAATTCAATACGTTCATGCATTTTAATGCATTCAATACGAATAATAAATTATACACGGTAAAATAATTTACACGAGAATCATACGATTACCAATACTTGATGCTCATAGAAACCAATTAACCAATTCAGTCAGTTCAAATATGATTATTTACAAACTAATTGATTTATTTCCCACAAGTATACAACTATTATCTTCGTCGTTAAAATCTGAATTGAATTGACCATGTGTAAGTTTAAACTGATAATAAGTGTATTTATAAAAAAATAAAAATAAAAAAATTGAATAAAAAGTCGTATCGTGTTACGATCGGATTAATGAAATTTCTCTGCGGGTGACTATTCGATGGTGGGGTAGGCAGTGGGTGCCGCATTATGGATGTTAACAAATTTTAATAAAAAAAGTAAATGATGATCGACGGTGAATAACTTGAACGCATTGTACCGGCAATCTAACCGTGCTACACAAGACAAACAATTTAATATAATTCGTGTGCCAAACGGTCGGGTCTGTATGGCGTCGGGGTGTATCCATTATTATGGTACGCTGGTACATGGCCGAACTCCGTCAAGTCGCTCCTTTTGGCGTCTTGTCTTACCACCACAATCCCGTACCCCGTCCCGAATCTCCTGCGGCAGGGTCATGTGACAGGATCCGACCGAGTCGCTCTGTTCGCGTTCCGTTTTGTCGAGACCCCGTTGTAGCGATACTCGTACTCTGCGCTTGCGGTCCTTGTTATGACGTGCCAGTACAACAAACGGTAACGTGACTCACGCCATAAGGTACGAATGTTCAAAGGAAATCGTATACCGGCTTATCTCGAAATGTTTTGCAGAAACGCATTTTGACGGTCGACCAACACGTAAACACGTGTTTCTTGGTGTACTATAAACGTTCGGATCAAAGAGAATCACTGTTCATTGAACGTAAACAGCATACGAAATATGAATACAAAACAAAAAAAAAACTTTTTGCTCGAATACCGTTCTACTTTAATGTGCAGTATTGTAAGTTGTGATATTGTCACGACTATCGCAACTGTTCAGTGTTAAATATTCAGTTAAAGCGTAGTTCCTACACCCTTGTCTCCGTCGAGCGGATCCGTGACACATTTTCCATTTTTGTTTCACTATCCTTTCCACGCGTCTAGGTAAATAAAAAGAAAATAACAACAGCGTCTGCGACTACGCCTGTTAACGGATCGCTGTATGGTAGACAAGTATCCTCCCCGTGTAAGCGCGGTCGATGAATCGTTATTATTCATGTGCCTCGTTCTAAGGCGAACAATTATGTTACTTTTTTTTTCTATTGTGCCAGCCGATGGTCGTAATGCACGAATAATGTGTCGATTAAATTCACGAGAGCAAGACGAAACAGCAATATGGATTTCATCATTACAGCGTACAACAAACGATGACGGTGTGCATAACTGTAGTTGTACCTACTACGGTGTGATAGAACCGTTGGAACGGAATAAAAATATTCTATTACGTTTAACCGTTTATTTTTGTTGAATAATTATTATTTGGGTAGGCTCCGAGCGTTAGCTGTGTAGTTTCGAACTGAACACATGTTATTATTCTATAATTAGTCGTCTATCGTTTGCTCTCGCGTAATACGCATGAATTACACCTGCACCTGACACCACGTACTGTAACATCTCCGACCCATAACGCTGAGTGTTTTGCGATGTAACGCAGTACACCGATCTAGTTAATTATTAATATAATATAATATGCGTTTGTTTAATGAATAGAACACACGCCGCCGAGGTGTTCAAAACTTCTCGAGTAATTTTTAAGCACAGTACTTCAATGTTGTTATATGAACGCAAATACTACATACATACATGATTTTATTTTTTATCAGGGTTTGTAATGAAAGAATTTATTTTTGTCGATTTTAATTTTTTCATTTACAACAAAATCAATCGTTTTAAGTTCGAAATATACATAAAAGTGAGTTTGTATGTATGTGTTTCAATCTAAATGATTAATAAAGAATATGATTTAAATTTATAACTTGATATATATGTATATATGTATGGTGTCCTTTTATAGGTTTCCGGTATTTCTTTATGAAATGGAGAGGTGAAACTGATAAACTGACGATAAAATAAATATAATTGTAGTTTAATGCACAAAAGTTAAAAAATAAAAAAATTAAAGAAATAATGACGAATAAAATAATACGCATAAACATAAAACAATTTATTAATAACTTTATATTAGTTGTATTATTAAATTGAATATTCATTTTTTTCTAACGGTGGATAAAAAGTATTGCTGTTATAGTTTAAATATACTTAAATTAAGTATGTGAAACTAATTGTAGAAAAAAATAAATAAAAAAAGAGAAAATGATTTATTTTCTTATAATTTATGCTACTGTATGATACAATGCATCATTATGTTAAAAAAGAAAAAAAAATTCAATAAACGTATAAGATTATCGTTTTAACTTTTAAATAGTACATAATTTATTTTCCACAGTTATTCTTCACGGTAATCTTAAAAAGATTTCGCAAATATACTACACTCGGCTGCTATATGAGAGTCGAGGATATTGTAGTTCCGGAAATATTGAAAAATAAAAGCATATTTCATTACTATAGTACGTATAATTTACTATTTAAAAATACAAAGAGGTGTGCCCAGAAATTATTTGTTCCGTGAACTGATCACATTATATAACGAAAGAATAAACACATTTTTTAAATAATTTTTAGTTTTTTCTTCTCTATTTGTTCCATTTTAATTTAAAGCTATTCTGGTTTAATACTTAACTAATGTTTGTTATTTGTTTTATGCATGTCAAAATTATCATAATTTCTCATCGTATTTTCAATAAATGAATCGCGTTATAAGATTACCATTAGGATTCAATTTAAATCGAAATAAAACATGGGCGTATATTTGTTTTATTGAAAAAAATATACACCACACCTGGACCAAATTAAAAATTAAATATTTTCCATTCTGTTTTAATTTTTTATCCAATTTTTGAACACTAAAAATAGTTACTTAAATAAATCAAAATAACGAAATATTTAAATTACATTTTTTATCAAAAAATTAATACTTAACAGTATAAAAGTTAAATAAAGAATTATCTTGCAAAACCGTCTACTGTCTTACAATCTGAAGTTAAATACTAGCATCAAATCGGTCCTATATAATGCTTTGTTTGAGATAGAGTTTCCATTTGAGATTATGATTTTAGATTCATAAAAGCATTTATTATTCAAACATATAGGCGCAAGTCTTACAGGTGATTAGATGATATTTAGGTGGATAACACCTAAAGATATTAGATTATTTTAGTTCATACAAATATTTCATAATATTATCAACTTATGAGAACCAAAAAGTACCGTCTCGTAAGAATATAATTTGAATTTTGAATTTTACAAATGTTAAAATTATTTACAATATGACAAAATTAATTATTTAATTGTTATTTTATTAATTTTGATTCAACTACACTATAACTGAAATTAAACGTTTTGTTACTAGAGTCATTGGCAAATATATATATCCAGTTATGAAAAATCCTAATTACGCCATTGCCTTGAACCAAAATACATGTCGCAGTTATAGATAATAAGATAATGGATAGGCTTCGCCTACATTAGCAAATTAAGGGGACACGTGCTGAAATAAGGAAAATAACTGCCTTCGTTTACCGCCCTCTTACCAAGAGAAAAAATTCGTATTTCCCTTGTGACAGCTGTGACCTTACATTTTTCGAAATGTTTATTTACGAGAGCGATACACTTTCACGGTCTGTCCATTATTATATTGTATATGGTCGCAGTCCAAACACATTAGTGTACTCGGCGTGATTGTTCAAAGATCATCCGAAATACAAAAGGAGTAGAGTTAGATTTTTTTTTATATATATTCGTATACAAATATACGCTAAGTGGTTCAATCACTGCAGGGATAGAAATTAAATATAGTAACTCAAACGGCATGTGGACTTGATATGTTAAAAGGATGCAATTTTATGTTTTAAAAATAAACGCTAAATAAAGTATTTCAATTTAGATAGTTAAAATAGAAAGCGTTGATAAAAACACGATAAAATGTACTAGTACTATAAGAATTGTAACATATAATTTTAGCAAGCCTAAAACTTTTTTGTCTTTAAACAAATCGGTCAAAAACAAATTCATTATCGAATATCACATTATTATTTGGTAAAGGGAGGTGGAGATGAAAACACCCGAAGAAAACGGCTAATCACGCGCATAATAACAGAGTTGATACAATTTTATTTCAGTTTAAGCGTACCGTGGCGATATCGAATACGTTTGATGTGTGTCATCTCCAATTTTTATTTGCACTACCATTGTTCAGAATTGTCAGGTATATACACTGATTAGGTGTTTATAAGTATATTTCATTACCGTTTACGCTTTAAGTATAAAATTAAAATCTTGTTAATTTATTAATAAAATATATATTTATATATATATAAAGTGCTGAATCAGGGCTATAATTAATATTGATCGTGAAACTTAAGTGTACATTAGTTCAGAGATAGTGGTCTCGTATAGAGAGCTACATCCTATGGGTTACACAAAACCACTTTGTTCTGAAACTAGGGAGCATGAACACATTACTGGGGAGGCGCAAGTAGTTATTCCGAAATATAATTTTTATTGATTAAATTATTTTTATTTTAAAACTTTTTATATGTTCTCTATCAAATAGTTTCTGTATAAAATATTTTGCCGAATATAAAAGAAACTGTCAAAACAGGAGTGTTGTCAGCATTAAAATCAATTAACATTAATTATTAATTTAATTATGTATTTTTTTTTTACTTTTATTAATATTTTATACTTATTTCTTATAATAATATTTTACCTTAATTGATTGCTTAATTTTATTATTTATCATTATTTTTATTTTAAAATTATTATCGTCAATAAAAAAAGTATGTAGACATTCCGAATATTTAATAGTTTATTTTTAAACGAAACAAAAAAAAAAGGTGATCAGTTTTTGAAAATCTACGAAAAAGGCGTAAAATAGAAGAAGCAAAAGAAGTAGAGGGAAGTCACGGCATTCTTCTAATTATTCGAACTTAACCATCTGTTTTACCAGTATTGTGTCAACTATTAACAAAATATACAACTAGTACACGAAAAAATTTCGAGCGTTATCACTAAAATGTATCTTACTTTTATGTATTTCAAATATCGAACCATAGATAAATAGACATTTGAATATAAATAGATCAAGGGTCCCATTGGTTATCGGTAAATTTTTTTGTATTTTCATCTTTCTAAACGTTCGTTTTGTCAAATGCGACCGTTGCGACGCCTCATCAAGGCCCTCCCTTACGGATGAAGAAACGCTGTACCAGATACCGTCAGATGGAGATAGAGAATAGAGAGCGGTCGTGTTCGGAAGGGGAGCACCGTGTAGGGTCGGAAATTCAGGGTCGAAGACAGAGGGATGGATAAACGAAGAATACCGAGTAGGATCGGTATTTTGGATACGCGAACGGCTCGAGTTGGCAACCGGAATGTCCATGAAATCACGGTGCCAACGTTATATTTTCACGTGTGTTACGTACCCAGAGGTCGCACATGAACGTGCCGAACGGCCATCGGCCCAACACCAGGTAGAGCAGCGCCATGGGCATGACGAGTATGGCCACGCACAGGTCGGACACGGCCAGCGACACGAGCAGGTAGTTGCACGGGCGCCGGAGCTTGCGGACCAGGCACACGGCGATGCACACCAGCACGTTACCGACGATGGTCACTACGATGACCAGAAACAGCACTGAGCCGATGGTGAACGCTTCCAGTGCCGTGTACGTGGACGGCGCGACGGCAGCGGCTGCGGTCGCGTTCCTCGGCGGCCACGGCACCTGCACCGTTTCGTTGCGGTCGTACGCGGCCGTGACGTTGACGCCGTCCATTTAAGTGACATCCGGGTACGCCGACCCGCTCATAACCGGCGGCCGCCGCTTAGGTCACGCTGGTGGTCGCTGTCATCGTCATCGTCATCATCATAATCATCATCATTATCACGGTCATCATCATCGGCATCACCATCATCACCATCGCTACTTCACAGTCACATCTGTAGCACCACGAAAACAAAATATCGTTAAGTCTCGGACACCGCTACGGCTGAACAATATCTTATTATAATTGTTACGATTTTTTTTTTGATTTTTTAAATATTTTTTTAAATGTTTTTTTTTTTTTTTTTGTAACATACACCAATAACTTGGTCAAAGTTTTGTGTCGGTATAAGTGTAGAAACTTTACTTTGATCGTTTATTCTTGGACAACAAGAAGAAACTCAGGTCAAACGTTAATAATACTTTTTCAACTACTCGAATTTGAGATCAACGTAAACGAAAAGAAAATATCAATAAAAGGCTAATTATTTTGTAACCGCCACCCGGAATTCATGCCGTTCAAAATATCACATTCCTGTGCTAAGGGTACGAAGAGAATCGTCCATCCAAAATACTCCACCATTGGCCAAAAAAGAAAAAGACATTTTGCCGAATAGTTTCAAATTATTCGACGAGATTGGTTTCATTACGATTATGATTGTTATGGCTCAACGTTTGTTGTTAGTTCTAAAGTTGATTTCAGCACAGGGAACTGAGCGAAACTTTTAACCGACTAATGTCTTTCGAACTATTAACGATCTCTTTTCGGAAGTTCATGAATCGGTGCGGTAGCAAATGTATTTGCTGACTTATAGAAACCATTGTATACAGCAAAACACTTAAATCAAACGCTCGAGTCATGGTGGTCAACCCATGGGATACGGTTCAATGCAATATTACTAGGAACAATGTAGATTTGTCGTTATGGCAATAACGTAATTATCGTAATGATATTACGGTCGTAGTTGTGAATAATGACGACACGACTAATACAACTAGAAATAGGAAACAACAATTTTAAAGGTCAATGAAGGTCTTTGAGGTGACCACAGATCAAAATTCTGACGGTCAAACGACCAAGATAGGATGTTGTAGCAGACGAAAAAATGCCCAGAACGATTAGAATAAATTGGACATTTGAATTCTCGATGATCATGGCAAGTGAACAAATTATATGGTGTAAAATATGTTTTAATAGGGGTGAATTTTTTTCACTGAAATATCGATAGGTGTAATATACAGCTTATTGTTTTTAAAGTGTAGAATTTATATCTTACATCGGGTAAATATTGTTGTTGATGAAACGGCATTAAAATTATCATCCGTATCAGTTGCGATCTTAAACCTAGTAATAGTCTAGTATTTAAAAAACAAATTCGACTTCTATATGTGTATAATAGAAATAAAAAAGACGTTCGAGTACTCTTTGTAATAATCAATAATCACTTAACGTTATATTATTTTTCAGAAGAGTGTTAATACTTCGTGTACAAACATTCCTTACGTATATGTATGAAATAAATATTGTAAGAAATTTACACACAAATAGATTTATTGTACTGTTTAATTAATTATATTACCGAGTATAATTGTTTGTTAGCTTTGGACACATTTTAGATAGTTATATATTCGTTTAAAATACATCAAATAATTAAAAGAGTATTTTATCGAATTTGAAAAGTATCGAATGAAGAATGGCAATAGATACATTGTTATAATATTATTGTTTTCGACGCCAAAGTCTATAAAAAACGTAATACGATATATTAATAATGTAAAAACAATTATATCATTATAAATAATTATATATATATATTATACAACGTATAGATGTATATACATTTTTGTAGTTGTTCATTGTAATGTGTATTTATTGAGTTAAATTAATAACTTCTACAAAACAAATATCATAGAATCAAATTTTAAAAAATCATAATTAATAACTATTTTTATAATATTCATTGTATATTTTTAATACGATAAGATATTATAAATTTACAGAGAGTTTCTGATTCTAAATCTGAGAAGATTATTAGTCAAAACATAAATATATAAACTATTCAAGGAATAGTAAGGCTAACGAGTTTCATATTACTTGTCACGTGCAAGTCAACGTATTTAAATATTATTTATTCAAATACATAATATAAATGTTTGAGTATTAATGAATTACAGAAACAGTAATTTAACTACTTTCAATTTTTTAATTTAAAAGTTAAATTAAAACCTTTATAATTACAAAAGCAAATTAACCTGATAATATTGATTATTTCATCTCGTAAAATCCTAGGAGAAAATATATTCATTATAATTACATTTTTAATATAATCAGTTCTCGTGTTGTTTTGAAATTGTTCAAAAATATTCCAGTAGCTAACGTTTGATTATTGAATAATATATAATTGTATAAATGTAATAAGTTGAAATTTAACTATTGTACATTAGTATACGTATTACTGTTAACCATTATAAATACTTTTAAATGTTAGAGACATTTATTTAACACAACTATCATGTTTAATATTTTTTTTTTTTTTTTAATAACAACTATTGAACTTAATAATTCTTGCAACAAATATTTTCTGAAATTTTAATTATCTATGAATCTAAGAAGAAGTCATGAAACATGTTTTTGTAGCACAAATAAAAAATGTAAGTTTTAAAAAGGATTCAAAATCAGATATTTCTTTAACTAAACAAAACAAAAGTTGGTAGCCATCGTATAAAACGCGATATCAGTAGGAAAACAAATTGCAAATAATACATATATTTAGATCGATCTCAAAGAAAAGTATTTGACATTTAGTCAAAAGCACTAATGGAAACGAAGAACATAGGTTAAGTGTAAAATTCCTGGAGTCCTGAAGTACTATACCACTATACGTGTTCCAGGTACAGTACTATAAAATGAAAATAAATGTTTATCAACAATACCAAAATATAATGCATTTGGTTTGGATTCATATTTCAAGAATTGTGGTGTATAGGGATTTCGTGTGCTGAAAACTTTGTCACTTGTAAGTTTAAAACAGCGTTAACCAATTTATTTAACGTTAGGAATAAAGTAATTTCATAATAATTTGAGACCTCGTGTATCACGTCAAAGTTTCCGGATAATGTGAATTGTGTGAAATATAGTAAACAAAATACAATTTACGCTGATGAAATGAAACCAAAGAAAAGTCATTATCCATGTCATTCACGCACGATATGTTGTCTTATAAAGTAAATCCTAAATGGATGGCTATACCCATGACGAATACTATATTCAATGCTTAAGTCTAAAATTTTAACTTGAAAACGATCGCATTATAAAACAGTTTTCCATGATATAATGTTTTACAGAAAATAAAAAAGAATGTTCTAGATTTCTTTAAACCCGATAATTTAAGTATCATAAATATATACATATTTTTTCACTTTTACATCTACGTAAGTTGCTTTCTAAAAAATATGCGTGTCAAAAAACAAACTGTAGTGAAACCCAATACAACCTCATTGAACTGATTTAAATTTAAACTATGATAAATTGAAAAATTTTATAATTCAACCATTAATATCTCACATCAACGTTGACTTTTTTTCACTTTTTTATACATTTTTTCATATACTCGTATACATTATATCGACACAAAATATTTTATTTTTTTTTATACAATCTATCTTGTTTGTTGTAAAAAAATTTCAGAAAACAATTATTATGAATATATTGTGTTATTTTTGCATTGTACTCATTAAAGGAATACATTTTTTTATTTTTAATTTATTGTAAATTAATTGTACGCATTAATAAAATGTTTTTTATATTGATTAAAATCAACACTTCACTGATATAGTTTAACAATGTTTTTAAATAATATTTTAATTTAAAAAAAAAAAAAAAAAAAATGGTTTTTAAGGATATTTATATCATATAAATTTGTTGGTGTTAAATAAAATTAAAAAATATCAAATTTAAATAAAAGAGCTTACATTTTTGTTCTGTTTATTACGTTATATACAACCTAATAAATGATACAGTGTTAAGTAAAAAAAAAAAAAAAAAAAAATCGTGTCAAATTAAAAATAATGTAAACTATTAGTATATTACCCAAATAGAAAAATTATTTTTCGCACAATAAATGTATTCTTTATATAAAAAAATACTTAAAATTATTATTCATATTATTAAAATTTTAGTCGAAAATTATAAATAAAAAAAAAATAATAATATTTTTTTATATATACATTATTAATTGATAGATTGGTCATATATGATATCTTAATAGTATTATTATACTTTTATACATGATTGATTAGTTAAATACAAAATATAAGTGTTGCTTTTGTAATAAATATTTTTTTTTTTTTTTTTAGGAAATCTTAAAAGTCTTGATGATTCGAAGTTTTAGGTACGAAATTCGCATGATCAATTTGTGACGGAGACATTTGCCGGATTTTTAAATATGTCATTCCTCACGTTTTTTTTTAAAATATTAAATTAACATGATAATTAAATGATGAAGACAAAGAATATATGTATACATTGAATTAAAATTAAATTTTTTATATATTTATTATACCTTGCCGAGGAAGACATATGGCATAAAAATTGGAACAAAGAAATTAAAAAAAAAAAGATGTATATAAGAAAGTAATATTAATAATAATCATAATACAAATTATGTGGTAGTCACCCTTAGGACCCACGATATATAAAAACATACGACAAAATCTCATTTGAAGGGACGCTGAACGTTCCAAACTGGACCATTAACAATACATATTAATAATAATAATAATAAGTGAACCGAAATGGTTTTATACAGTCCAGCTTCAAGTAAATAAAAACAAATCGACAAGTATAGGACAGTCAGTATTTAAATAATTAATAGATTACCATATGTGTGATGGTCTTACACGCTCTTCGCCGCGATAAAGCCATCAAACGATGCTTCGGAAAGATGTTTCTCTACTCTATGGCCGGTACTGGTGACAATCAAAAAAAATTAAAATACCGAAGGAAACTTAGAAAACTTAAGGAAAACGAAAAAAAAAAAGTTTGCTCCAAACAGTTCGACGAACGACGGTCGAGAGAGAGATTTCGGTATGACATTATTTTTCTTACAGCGGTAGGTGGTAGTGGTCACGATATTAAATTCAGTTGATACGGACGATGTATGTACGGCGTGTCTGT